ATTCTGATTTTGCATCTGTATAATTTTTCAATGGATAGACAATTTTCTTGCTATCATCTTTCATGATGACATGATTTCTTGCTCAATACCACTTATCACAAGACAATTATGATAAAGTACAAGTGTAGCAAAAGAGCAACACCAATATATTAGCATAAACACAAGCAAATGTCACCATTTGAATGCAGTAATAATTTCAAATCCACCAGAAAACTTACTGCTATATTTCAACAAATGATGAGATATGTCCATACTAACAGATATTGCCTAAAATGAAGATTTCAATTATAGCATATGCAATAGGTGCAAATGGTTCACTTTATTACTTGAAAGTCTACCTGACCACTTGGCACTTGGTGATGCAATTGTGAATTGTCATAAAAAATATTTTCCCTCTTGTCGTTGTAAAGATCTAGCATTCATTTCAAGACAGCAAGAAGCTTTAGATATTACCATAATTCTTATTGAACCCCATTTATAAATAGAAATCTCCCAACTCAAAGATTATCCTTAAACGGTGTTCACTAGATGGAGGTGTTCACCAAGGCAGGTTTTGTTGTAGTGAAATTAGGTCATTACTGCATATATTAATAATTAAGATCTTGCCAGTACCCATTTATTGATTCTAAGAGTTGACCACCTAAATGTGATACTACTGACAATTATAAACCATGGAGTATGATTTACTCTAATCCGAGGTGACCAAAAATATAGTACCGAGTGTATGGTGTAATAGTGAAAGAACAGTATATTATCTAAGTGGTATTATGAACACTGTTTATATCATCCGATTATCTGGCTGGGATAAATTATAGTATCCATGAAAACAGTGTATCATTGATCTAAAATATTGTTTAGTTCTTCCAAGACATAGACATGATTAATTGCACCATTACACAATTTTAGATCTTAGATACAGCATCTAAATCATATTTTATCACTAGATCTAATAATAAAACATAATAAAAAAATAGGTTGAATAGAAATGCAATATGCTCCCTGAGGAGGATTGAAATATATAGCCTAGTTAGAAATTGAATGCTTTGATTTCCATTTGCAGCCTTGCCATAGGGCTTGAAAAATAAATGTCATTTCTGGAAACTGTATATTGTAACAATTAGGGACACTGACATCAAATGATAAGTAAACATCTGGTCATGAAAAGTGGCTATAACAACAGGGAGCCGATTCTTAATGGTGGCATTATGTTGTATCAAATAGTCAATTTAACTCATACAATTTCTTTTTTTCTACACCTTGTTCAGAAAATGCAAATATATGATAACATTCAAATGTTCATTTTTTCCATAGATGTGGTCATCCACATTTATTGTTTTGAATAATATATACATTTATACCAGTATATCATACATCTTAAATAATTCACCATTGGTTCACATATCATGAAGTTTAGACATTTTGAGAGGTGTAGAAAATAATGGTCAGTAATTATAAAGGACCAGGTAGGATATTGCAGCCTTCTTTTCAGCAAGATTCCTTGTATCTACAGACCATATCTGCACTCTGAAATCATGGTACCCTACGGTACATTGAGAGTATTGTACATTCTCTACAAGGAAAGAAATAATTGCAAGAAAAATGTATTTTACCCAAAATTTTGAAAAATCTGTTAAACCATTTTATAATTAATGATACAAATTGTATGATATGCTATGGCACCATTGCAGTACAGTGTTTATGGTACTGTTGTGTCTCCAGGTCCGTAGTCAGGTTTACCAAGGGGGGTTCACTTTTTGAAAAATATTAGGTGGGTTCACTTTTGACAACTTTGGCCCAAAAATGGCCAAAATCACTTGAAGTGCTCAGAATGGTGAAAAACTGCATTACTTTAAAATAATTTTTGGATGGCAATAGACACAAGTATGATGATTCCTGTTGGACCAACGTGAAATTCGGAATTTCTCATTCTAAATATGAAACACTTAAGCTGAATGGGTATATGAAGTAGACTAATTAGCATATGTGCTATACATTGCTATATTGATTCATGTGCTTTCTGTTCACGTTTGCATTGTGAAAAACATTGCTTGCTTAAACTCTCCATTTGCTACAAAAATGTATCATCATAATTCCAAATGACATAAATGTCTTAAATCTTGAAAATATATTTGCCATTGAAATATCATCATAATAAAACATAACCCAGTTGTAAATGTAGAATTATAGGCACTAGAATAGAAACTCCTTGCCATAAAGAAGGCTGTAAAAGTCAACCTAGTTACCTAGTAACCAAGATAACCTAGTACATGTTTACACAAAATTTCACAACTGTATGAAATAAGTTGTCACTCCAAGGCAGATTATATGATCTTTCAAGAGATTAGATACTTCGCCATTAATATTAAAGGGTTCACATTACTATAGTAACTTTGACATGTTTTCTCTTTGGAGTTGCCTGTTAGGCATTTCTGCTTATTTTCTACTTTGGTACTGGAAAGAGAACACCTAGTGGTGAATACTTGAACTAAAAGCAATGATTTCTATACAATTACCATACAGTTCTATATTACAGTACAAATCATTATTGTTATAATACATAGCTCAATATAAAAATTTCATCCGTTAAATTACATAATATATAACAGTAAATGTACATAGATTACACGAAATGGAAGATAAATATCAAGACCTAGATGCCGAACATAAACATAAATTGGCAAAACTAATTTAGGAGTTTGTAAAACTAATTTTCCTTCTAACTATTTTGAATCTGTTACCAGGCAACAAGAGATTGCCTGAATCTAGATGGTTTAAGATCTAAACAAGATAAAGATATCTTGAATAAATCAATAGTTCACAAATAAGTAGGCTCTAAGATAATGATATTTGATCAACCATGCATATATTTATATATATAATAAAACATAACACAGTGTCAAGGTCCCTTTGGGTGGCCTGTTCAAAACACGTCATAAAGGTCATGGGTTTTCATAAGTGTGCATAACAGGAGATCGAAATTGCTATGAGCATTGAAATAAGTGGGCGTTGCACCCACTTGAGATTTTGAGGAAATGCTGTGTGGAGCTTGTTTATCGAGAAGCTTAAAATGACCATGCGGGGTATGCTCATCATTGCCTGTAATTACCCTGGCCTTAAACACACATTAGGTACTGTAACCAATTTTACGAAAAACAACATAATCATGACCTAAATGAAATATTTTATACAAGGATTAATATACTAATGCGTATTGCCTAACCATGCACATGTAGCTCTGCCTTACAAGCATCATTGTATACAAAAATGAATATATACACAATACACATGTACACATATTACAAAAGTTTGAAACTTTCCCTATTAACACATGTTTCATACACAATGTTATCAACTACAGTTATCTGGTAATATCTAAGTTCAATATCCATGTAAGCAATATGTTTGGGCATTTGTAATTGAAATGAAACAGAAATCATGTTTTCAAAATTGCAATTTTCAGAATAGAATCACACAAGGAATTGTCAATTTATTACCTCTCATTTATCGGATTCAAAAATGATGAAATATGTTTGACTTCATTTTCAAGTTCATTTCAAAAATGACAAATGTCCAAAGTTTTTATTTTGGTGTTATATGTGACCTGAACTAAAGAACATCGTCTTTTCCTGATAACTCAGGTATTACTAAAATAACATTATAAACTGAATAAGTGGCATATCATAGCCTCAAACAGAATCTAAATATAAAAAAAAAGAATAACAAATGAATCTAATTGGTTTAAATCGCGCTAGACAATGGTGACATCTAGCGGCATAAACCACAAAATTGGTGGTAAAAATTGACTATAATGATAAATGTTGTTGTGACCATTTAAATTGTTTGTATGTAATATATCAAGAAAACTAATGGAGTCCATGGAATTATCTCTCAGATGTTAAGGCAAGCATGTATCATGGCCTTATCAAAATCTATAGAGATGATGATATGAAGATATAAGAGACTGGGATTAGATGCAATCGTAATAACTTGGCTCTGTTACATCAAAAATTAATCTAAATAAAAACCATCCAAATCTAGGCCTTGTAAATCAAAGCAAAGATGGTGCAATAAATTACAAAAGATCTTTAGTTGAGCTTAGAAGATATTATACGTGAAACTGAAAATGTCAAAAGTTAACGCCTCTCTTTAGTAATACAGTAACTCAGAATTGATTCATTATGGTGTTCCACAGACATTCATCAAAAGGAACTACAAAAATGTATCCTTGGGATTAAATAAGTATCAAGATACAAGCGATGTATATAGAGGTTATTTAATGGGAGGTTTTTGATACAGGGTATATCTGAGGGAAATACTATATATCTACCCGAGGGACCATAGGGACCGAGGGTTGATATATTGTATTTACAGAGGGATATACGCTGTATAAAAAATCGAGCATTCAATAACTGGTTTATCCTAAATTTAAAAGATTATGAGAATAGTTACCCGCTCACCTCAGATATCGATTTTATTCCCGCATGTTATTTACCTATAACACTACTAAGTATGGGATAAAATGATATATGTGCTATTGCATGTAATAAAAAATAACAATAAAATATGAGACCATGCGGTACTGTCTGATATTACTACAAGTACTACTATGCAAATGAGTGGGAAGACCACATAGACACATTTTCATAACCACAAAACTGAACACAAATACATCACAATAATTATTATATTACATTAGCACCATTTCAACTAAAATAACTTAATTTTCACATATTTTCAGCATTTGTAAAAAATTCACTACATACATTTGGCAGTACAGTATTTATCATACTAAGTCACTATTTAAAGCAAAAAGCTTCTTTGGTGCATTTTCTCAGTTCAATGATTAGTGTACAGTAAAACCTGTCTAAGAGGAACAACTTTGGTACTTCTAACAAAAAGTGTTCCACCTAGGTGTTCCACTTATAGAGGTTCATGTGACATTAAGTCAGTCTTGGGACTCAAAGTGTGTCATTAACAGAGGTGTTCCACTTCTAGAGGTGTTCCACTTTACAGGTTTCACTGTAGTTACCTAAGAAAATGTCTTTAACAATGTTTCTCTACATTTCATTCGTGAAATATATACACATGATGAGTTTTCATATTGAACACATAATTTTGCCAATATGGTTTAACACGATGGGATTTAGTTGCACCAATCAAGGTGAAACAACCAGTTACTACAGCAATAGGCACATTTCTGCACAATATGCACATTATTTTACAATACAATCACATATTTTTACAACAGCTGTGAAAGACTTAAGTCATGTGACCAAATACAATATGCAAATGATCTTATTTTACAATTGGCATATGTCGTAAACTGTAAATCAAATATTGATTCATCCTTCAAATGTTCATGAAATGTTTCAGTAAAAAATGCATCAGAAATCTAACGAAAACAGTGATGCTTGATTATATAAAATCATGATGATAAGTATGTGCTAGTTGTACAATAAAATTGATGTTGGATGAGATGTGTGATTGACGTGCATCAGATATAATGAAATGTAATGACTATATAAATATGACTCCAAATTAAAGAAATGACTACATATCATCGTCATCATATGCACCCTTTCCTTTTCGCTTTTTGAAATCTGCTTGTATCATGTCCATATCTTCAGGTCGTTTACGTTTGAAGAATCCAAGCTGAAAAATACAGAAATATCATATAAGTTTTAATAAACCAATCAGTAAACCATGGTACCTTATTGATTATGATGTCATTCTTACAGATTAAAGACAGATATAAGAGGAACTAACTGCTAAATTGCCTACAAAGTGTAACATCATAAATAATAATTAAAGCAAATATACCCTAGTTTCCTTGATCTAGCAAAAAGATGTCAGGGACAAGGTCAATATATTTACAAATGCCGAAAAGTGTATAAAATTATATTTGCTTCATTGAAGGGGTAATACTCGTATATCTTGCTTAGGGGAGTTATGAAATGATGAAAATAATGAACTTGGTAATGTCAACACACGAGGTAACTATGTGTTGACTGTAATAACTGGAGTATTTCATGATACTTAAAGCCTTGAAACTATAACACAGAGATTAACAAGGACAAAGAGCATTGACTGAACGTCTATAACTCATTTTCTCATTGCCCTAAGGGTCCTATCTCTATTAGACTTGGAAATTGGGATTTTCTTGACAATGTCCTTCTTAAGGACAAAATGTAATAAACAAGTGCAAATCAAGGGATCCGGATGAAAAAGTAATCCTTGGCCTTCGGGTCTTGAAATGCAATTTGTAAAAATGGTTTAATATGTAATGTAAAGCAAGAGCATTGGTACATATTTGCTATAGGCTATGTAACAGTAATCTTTCCTTTGAGATGCAGGGTGGTTAAATTGACCCTTTTCCATATAAATGGAAAATAGATGGCATCATGGGTATTGGTAGGGTGCAATAATGGTGCAAATCAATGTTGTTTTGATAGAAAATTACACACAAAATTCAAATATGCCATCAAATAGAAGGAAACGTTAGTCTTTAATGGTTAAAAATGCAGATCTCCTAAAATCTCATTAAAAACGAGACTTTAACGAGATTTTAAAGCTATATGGAAAAAGGACCATTGAAAAATGTTTATTTTTAGTAATGCATATGTGGCTAACAAGACAATATTTTTGCAGTAGATATCTTAAAAAGTATTGTTGCAGTAGCCATTTTCATTCAACTCTTCTGGGATGTTCTGTTGAAATAATTTCAGAAATGTCATATTTGTAACTCCAAAGAAGATGATTAAGACATGCAACATATATGACTATTTTGTAATGAATGGGTTTGGATATTGGCAACATCCTTGTGGAAATCAATTCCATTGTGCATCTTCAGTTTTACAGACTTCATGGAGATATAATCTCCCCTGGGGTATCTACAACATCTTTAATATCTAATTAAAGCCTCATTGTACAAGAAAAACATGATAATGTACCAAGCACAGTGAATATATGAGCTAAAGTAGAGACAGGTTTATGGGAACTATTTAAAAATGTATTTCTAAGGGACAAAGAAGAAACAACTTTATTAAAAAGATGCGCAACAAACATCTCATAGGGAAATTTTCTCTATTTGTTTATTATGTTCTGAACTTTTAACACTCAATGGGGAAAAACAAATTCCAAATATTGTCAAACATAGTGGCACAACTTTCTTGATATTGACAGAAATAATGAAGAATGGTTGGGTATGAGTAATAAGTGCTTGAAGTGAAAAAAGGTATGATTTACACAAAACATAAAATTGTAAAATATTCTTAAAAACCTGGGAAAATAGATTCAAGAAGTTTAATACTTGATCAACATTCCTGTAATCCTGAAAACATAAACAAGAACATAATAACATTGGAATCACAGGATGAGTGTGATTTGCATGTGACTGTAAGAGTAATGGTATGATTTTCAAATAAAGAATTACTATATAAGTAACTGAAGTTTAGGCCACTAGTGAAGACTTTTTCTTTCATTAAAAGAAAGATGTTATGTTGACAATCCACTTATGTCTTTCAAAGCAATATAATTATCTTGAGCATTATTGTATTATTCTAGCTCTTTATTATTGCCATTGTAAAATGTTATTTACATAATATCTTCGTTCAACATGACACTATCAGTCTGTCCTTTGTTCAACTTATAAGGTTTAGCAAACCGTCTATTTAGTCAATGATGTTAATTAATTACATACATGTATATGTGAATGATGCATGTTGTAAACAACGCAATATGCGTGATGAGCATTTTCTACATCCTTCTTCAAAGGACTTCATATATGCTTAAATTCACTATATACTTGTAAAATACCATTGCAGCAAGGATGATTTTCTGTACAATGAAAGCTTCTTATTTATTGTAATAGCATTTCTGATTTGTATAGGATAGAGCCTGGGGATTTCATGTAGATTACAGTACTTTCTTACCAATTGTGTTTCATTTCAAGATAATGTAATACTGACCTACTTTTTAAATCAGTATTTTTTAAAAAAAAAGATTGCTCCCAGCTGCCATTTAATAAGGTTTGTTATTGCCAAGTCTTGAGAATAGGCCTATTGAATTACTTCTCCAATGTAATTCTGAATGGCATTTACTGAGTGTGAAGAGTATCTGAGTAATATAAAATGTAAGCCAAGGAAAAGCCATCTTTCTAATAGCCAAACTCATGACAGAATCATTGTGAAATTTTGAAAATACTTATTAATCCTACATTTGCATATAGGGACTGAAAGCCTGGTGACAGATATATGCACTTTTCCTTAGCCATTGTAAATATTAGAACAAGCCTTACCTTCCACAAAACAATGACTAAAATGACGAGAAGTAAGACGCCACCTATTGCAGCTACTATGATGATCCAAAGTGGGATACCAGGGGGCTCTGCTATCTTTATATCAGGCTGGGCAGTTGTAATTGCCTAAAATATCAAACAAAATATCTGTATTATAGGTAGGTATTAGAGCATTTGCATATTTAGAATTAACAATTGTTGTATTTCATTTGAATTTCTTACAGAAGTACAAGTAGGTAGAGAACTTTTAAAGGCCTACTGGTACTAAGGTTTTGGTTTAATTAACTTAATTAACTGACTACAGCTTTGATTCCCTTCAAGGGGATGATTAAAACCTGTTCATTGTGATAGTGTATAATATAATATGAGAAGATAGATTTAGCAATCTTAAAGCTATTCTATTTATACCCTATATGTAGAGTTGTTGGATTAATAGAAGGCTGGAGGTACAGACACTCAACTCAATATTTTATTAGGTATTATTTAATTTGGTGAATTTTCCTTTTCAATTTGGTGGATTTTGGTTAAATTTAATTTCTGCAATCAATCTTGTATTTTTCTCAGCCATGTTAAACCTTTCAATCTAGTCAATTTACAACAGACATAACATGATTATTTCCTTAGATTGCTTCAATGGGAAATGAGTTAGCTCTATGTGAATGCACAATATGATAAAAACAGTGATAAAAAGTCCTTGGGATTATATCAAGAAGACAAAATTAGTTTCCTCCTAAGCAGGTGTTCAGAGTCCGTACCTCCTTCTTCCCCCTGCTACAACCAATTTGGAAGCGCCCGTTTAAACTGAGTCACTTGATCTAATCATGCGACGATGACGTATTCATGTGTTATCAGTGATATCATTTTTGACCAATCATCTTTGCTTTTCCTTAAAACAATTACTTATTGAATATAAGGTCAACAATTTTGAAGTGGTGCATGAATTCCTAATGCATGTAATTTATACTGATAGTTTATTGTACAATACACTGTATTGTAGTTCATAATCGGGGAAATGCTAACTGCTTATTGCAGGGGGAACGAGAAAGAAGATATTCTGGATATTGATACCCTGTGATCAGAGGATGGTTTCCAACTAAACAGATTTATGATATTTTGACAAACTGATCTTAAATCCATAGCTAAAGCCCTGAATACATTCATGTGACAATAACACCAAGATATGTACATGTAGGCCTTCTTCCATTTTTAACCAAGGGAGCTTTTGATTGAAACTTCTGTACAAAGTTACATCAAATAAACATTAAATGTTGATTTTCAACCAAGTTCAATATTCCAAGAGGTGAATGAACGAGATTTTCATTAAAACAACAGAAGAGTGAAATGATGACAAAGCACATGGTGATCAGACTGTGTGGGAACAGAGATTAGGACATTGTGACACAGCTGGAGAAATGATGTCTTAGTCTTAGCAGTCAAATCAGAGTTAATAACCTTAACTGTTACAATTCTTAAGTTGCCTAAGAGTATTATTAGCAAGTTGTAAAAATATAACAAAAAAAGATCAAGTCAATATTCTGTGAGTAGTATGATTTAATCCGAAATAGCATGTCAAAAATTCCCATACCAGAGCTCTGATATGAGACTTCTATAGAGTTTGTATCAGCTTTCATCTTCGCACACTCGGTTTTCATCACGTTCGATGGGAGCTGAGTGACGTCTGATTAATTCTTTTTGTTCATCCCAAATATCCAAAATCCAATTCTTCTCAAATTCATTGGAGGTGATATTGTTAGAATAAATAGGGAAAAGTATTTCTGCTTGGAAATGGATTAATAAGTGACTTTTATATTGATATTGTTTATTTTGACATACTGTCTTTAATTCTAAAATACACACATAATATGAGACCAATCTCAGACATATTCATGGCACTAGCAGAAGATACCCTAAAGTGCCTCAGGTAAAATTTTCAAAGAATTTGGCTTATCTAATGCTGAAAAATGACTTGGCTGAAAAATGACTTGTCAAATTGCTTCTCCAACATACTTTGTATTTAATTTACTCCATCTTGGGAATATACACAAATCCTAATGTCAACCACTCATTGTATATGTATATTGTATGTGTTTTGTGACATAAACAAATTGAAATTGAACAGTTCCTATTTTTTGTTAGAAACGCTATAAAGTTCTCATTGTGTTTCTCCTGTATGGGCTATTATGACATGCTATCTTGAATTTCTTAGTACCCACATCACATTTACTTGATCTTTTTCATATTTCTATATATACCTTGCTTCCGATACTCTTGGGCTACTTTGTACAAATATTCACTGAATTTGGTTCATCAGTTGCCGAGATGATACTTGTCAAATTTTTTTTTGGGACACCCGATATATCTGGCAATATTTTCACCATAACAGTATATAAATTGCAACATATTCACCCTTATATGTAAGTGGCAATATTTTCGTCATAACAGTATATAAGTGGCAACATATTCACCCTAATAGTACGTGCATGGCAATATTATATTTATCACAAAAGTATCATAATGATTTACTTACATCAGCCATGTCATCATCTGTTTTATCTTGTTCTATGTTTAATGCTGGGTCTATAAATAGGGTACCTCTGGAGCGTATTAATACTTGATCAACATTCCTGTAATCCTGAAAACATAAACAATAACATGGGAATCACGGGAGGAGTGTGAAAGAAATTTTAGTCCCATGTGGATCATTGACACCCTTGTCTGGCCCTGATTGGCTGACTTGGTCACGGTTCTCATGGAAAGATTTGTCCAGCTTGAAGAAAAAGCTATTTTTTTCATAAAAACACTAAGAAAACTTCATGAATTATTTTTTAACTGTTTTGTTATACCAAAGAAAATTAACTTCTCTATGCAATGGATATATCATTTGCAGATAACCTTCACTTTGTCCAATGATGCTAGGAGTAAAAGCTATTGGAAACGGCGACAGAGTATCAAACTCTAAAATGTACTATTTCTTTTTTAACTTTTTAAGGACACATTACAGTGACATGATAATATTTATATATGTTTACAGCTCAAGTTTGAATGTATTAATGAGATCTAGATGTATTGAGTCTTTTTAATTTTTTAATAAAATCCTTAAATGTGCTATTCCACTATAAATCTTACCTCTACAAAGGTGCTATTCCACAATAAATCTTACCTCTAAAAAGGTGCTATTCCACTATAAATCTTACCTCTAAAAAGGTGCTATTCCACAATAAATCTTACCTCTACAAAGGTGCTATTCCACAATAAATCTTACCTCTAAAAAGGTGCTATTCCACTATAAATCTTACCTCTAAAAAGGTGCTATTCCACAATAAATCTTACCTCTACAAAGGTGCTATTCCACAATAAATCTTACCTCTACAAAGGTGCTATTCCACAATAAATCTTACCTCTACAAAGGTGCTATTCCACAATAAATCTTACCTCTACAAAGGTGCTATTCCACAATAAATCTTACCTCTACAAAGGTGCTATTCCACAATAAATCTTACCTCTACAAAGGTGCTATTCCACTATAAATCTTACCTCTACAAAGGTGCTATTCCACAATAAATCTTACCTCTACAAAGGTGCTATTCCACAATAAATCTTACCTCTACAAAGGTGCTATTCCACAATAAATCTTACCTCTACAAAGGTGCTATTCCACAATAAATCTTACCTCTACAAAGGTGCTATTCCACAATAAATCTTACCTCTACAAAGGTGCTATTCCACTATAAATCTTACCTCTACAAAGGTGCTATTCCACAATAAATCTTACCTCTACAAAGGTGCTATTCCACAATAAATCTTACCTCTACAAAGATGCTATTCCACTATAAATCTTACCTCTACAAAGGTGCTATTCCACAATAAATCTTACCTCTACAAAGGTGCTATTCCACTATAAATCTTACCTCTACAAAGGTGCTATTCCACTATAAATCTTACCTCTACAAAGGTGCTATTCCACTATAAATCTTACCTCTACAAAGGTGCTATTCCACAATAAATCTTACCTCTACAAAGGTGCTATTCCACAATAAATCTTACCTCTACAAAGGTGCTATTCCACAATCTAGCACGTATACGTATAACAGCTGAATCCTGAGCCCTGAGAAGGTTTAGATCACAGAAAATCTTGAAACACTTAGCGGTACTGTTGCAAACCTGAAAGAACCAAAACAGTTCAATGTATATCAATAAGTAAAATAAAAAATGCAACACAATTTGGGATTCTGTATCCAATTATACGTAAATATATGTACTTTATTCAAACAGTGCATCATTGTTCATCACACACCTATTGACGACATATTAGCAAATTTCATATTTTCTGTCAACGCATAAGCAACAATAATAATTGTAAATAGTTTGTGATAAAGTGATGTAAGGCTTTGACACAAGTGTTTTTAAAGTGGCTGAAACAGGCAACTGTGACATTGCAACATGTACAAAGTGTATGGAGTGCAAGTTGATCAACTGGGGATGTAGATTGATTGCCATGACTGTGTGGTATAAGTATTTTCATTTGATTGCCAGAACTATTCATTTTATCAACAGCTTTATTTTGAGCAGTGTTAATTTAATCAACACTCTTAATATGAAATGCAGACTCTAAAGGAAATTGTTAATAAACCCCTTTTCTCATGACTTAAGCTCAATTTTGGTTTAGCCTTTTACTCTATGAGTAATATCTTTGCCATGACATACCATATCAACACGTCGAATTTTCTGCTGTCCAACTGATATTTCCTTTGCCTTAACTACTGTTTCATATTTTGCCTCACGTTTTTTACGTCGTAAATTTTGTGCCTCTGTTGTATCCACTTCATACGGAGCTTCAGTAGCTCCATCTACCTCCACCGTAGTACCAGGATTCGACCCAACCTATAAAAACATACAAATAATACAACTTCCAAATAAATTCATGTTCATCATGTGAATGGCATTCATGCTTTACCAATCCTGAACAAGATTAAAACCATGTCTCACAATCCCAAGATTATATCTGATTTAATTGCCAACACAGACAAAGTCATGAATCAAGCCATGTGAGTTATTATTACATTTTTTAAATGACAAATATTGCCTTTTATTAAGCATGTGTTATCTTTAATTACAGATCAGCCTTAAAGCTCTACTTCGTTATATCACATGCTAATCGATTCCAATATGGTAAGTGAGCTTGCTCTAGAATTATTCAAGGATTTAATACACAATTTATGAAGCAGCAGATGTTTATTGCGTCATTCAAAATGATGCATTTATGATAATAATGTTTAATATGACAGTATTTTGCAGGAGATAAGTAGCAATGGTTTATATCAGAGATATAGACGTAACTATAGAAACTATATTATCACTATCAATTTTATCTAAAACATATCTACAAGAAAAGAGATATCTACAAAACTACAGTACCCATAAATATTAGTAACTAAAACACATTATTTTACAGATAACAAAAATACAGAAATATGATTCAACATTAGAGAGATTTCGCACATAAGTAAAAGTACAACTTATACGTATACGTATACTTTAAAGGGTCATGTCGAACTATTATATTTACTAAAATCAATTTTAAATTGTACTTAATCGAACATAGCTATTCCCGGTATAGAAAAGCTCCATCAACCAGAGACTGTGAATGCACTGTCATCTGCACGTGTAGATTATGCACATTATAATTAAATGCTTGCTTCCGTGTCCTAGTAGTTGTAGTGTATTATAAACACGATCCTTTAAAGTGAGTCATGGTCCTTTAAAGTTAGTCATTACATAAACAAGTTGATTATTTCAAAGTTTTCATGATCATTATAAGTTCAATGAACTTACAAAACCGTATATTTACGTAGATGATAAACGTATACAGTTGGATCTCCGTATAAAGCTTTACCTGCATGTGTGTGGAACAATTGACCGCAAGCATTTTTTAAAATTAATTGGCTGAGTAGGAACAGTATCCAATCAAATATTTAACCATCAATTTGAAACACCAATCAAACCAGTAGGTTCTAGCGATTCCTGGAAACGACCCATTCAGTAGCTCAACAAATGGCATACAGGGTGTTTCATAACGAGCATCTCCAAAAAGTCAATTTGAGAAGAGATGGGTCTATAACATATGTACTATATTTGAGCCTATTTTATTCTAGACAAATACATTTGGATCAACTAAACATGCTACAATTCAAGAAAGTACAAATGGCATCCCTTTGACCTTGATTTATTACAGTCCGAGAAGATCTTTCCTGACTAAAAGCCTACATTATGAAACACCTTGTACGTTTACTTATAAGTATAAGTATACGTTATAAGTTGTACTTTTCGTATGTGCGAAATCTCTCTATTATCCAGGCATTCAGACTTATAACACCAAATACATGCAAGAGAAGCAAAACAAACTAATTCACACTACAATGTGCTCTATATTCTAGACATGAATATGTCCTTGAATCTGGGGATATGTACATGAGCAATCCAGAATAAAAATCTGCCTTGGGTTTTTCTATTACTTATCAAATACTTGATTTTCAAACAATTTTAGATATCAAAACCTCAAATTTTGCAGGTATAAGGACATGTTCATGTCTACTACAATCAGGATGAAACTACACACTACTCTAAAATGCAAAAGTTAATGTAATCCATGCATATTCCCTTTGACAGTGCCACCTATTGAAAGTTTCAATTTAACAGTATATGAGTTATGATGTTATAGATATGAGAACAATGTTTAACTATGTATTAATACCTCAAAATGGATATTTGATTTCTCAAGCTCATATTTATTAGCTCTACATTTAATTCATAAACATACACAAAAGGAGGCAAATCTTGTTGTTTCAATGTTTTGTAGGACTTATATATTTGTAAGAAATACATGAAACATTAGATTTATTGCCTTATTGTGACAACAATTCTTGGAAATAGAACAAATGAGAATTGGCTGTACTATTTTTTAAAGTTGTCAGAAATGTAGTCGTGAGCCTGGCTCTGAGCAAATGGTGTATATCCAAATATTCAATGAACTACTGAAAATAAGGAAATCATTATCTGTTGACAATGATATAAAATAAAAACATCTACGAGAGAAAACCTGATCATAAAACAACATGTCATTGTTTCTCTCCTGCAGGAAACTGTGTTTTTGGTTTGCAGTCTCTTGGACCTCAGAGTTCTTTCGAGGTAAAACCAGGGCTTCTGTTAATAATCCAACAACTTATCTTTTCTTGATCATATATTATATTATTGAAAATCTAGAAGGGAGACATGTTCCTACCCAATCACCCAGCAGTCATTCTTATGGGTTTAACTAATACAAGAATCACTGCAAATTGTGTCTGATTATTACAAACTGTGGAAGCATGTCAGAAAAGAAGATTGATGGATTAGAAAAGTTTAATGACCTCAAACGAGTTCATAATTTTGAGTAATAATTTAAAAGTTTTCATTATGCCATGGGGTTTTTGGAGAATAAAAACACATGTCTTTTACAGGAGTAGAAACGTGACCACATTACAACACAACCTGAAATATAGATGTCATCACTTACTGGTGATACCTGTGTTTTATTGTCTATATGTTTCAAGGGGTCTTCCTGTGAAATATGATATGGTAAATATAATGTGATATTTTAAAGTATGACAAATATGATTTGACAAACAAGATGGTCTATAAAAGTCAAGGGGTTTTCTTGTCATTAGTTGTGATTATATATGTGAGATTACGTATATGTTTCAAGGGGCCTTGTAAGATATAATGAATACAATGAATGATCGGATAACCAAGACTAAAAAAAACTGTTAATGAGGCACTTGAACCTTCTCTTATCAAGTATTTCACCTCCATGCTCATGCTACAGTGCTAGAAGATGCCGATCTCAAGTACCAAAAAAAAAGTTAGAATTTACTCTTCATTTCACTGTGACTTCAAGCATTTCAAATATTATGTATGTTTTCTAGTTTATACTGTCAAAAATGAGAAGAAACTGGAATGTTGCCAAAATCATTTATTCAAAACATATGTTCAATTATAAACAATTTTCTGAAATTCTACAATTGTATATGCTAATTTACTTGGGTTTATCAAAGCAAGATAGTATTAAAGGAGTAGGATATGGGGAGCAAATTCAACCTGTAAAAACCTGTTGAATATCAGCATTAGAGATATTGAGCCTTAATTAGTCACTTCTGTTAGTGCACTATGGTGTATGTGTCCTTATAACTCCATCATAGTACAAAATCTTTCATGGAAGATTTATTCTTACATATGGCCTTTATCCATTCAATAACTTGGTGTCTGATAGGTGTCAAACACACCATTTTGTTTCAATAATGGATGTTATGGTAACACATAAGCCACAGTTTATTTAAAGCTTTGGGACTTCTCTTGAAAATATCATCAATTATGATTCATGAGATTCAGCAAACGAAACTTCAATAACAGCCTCATTTTGAGATACAATTGAATTTCAGGAACCAGAATTGATGAAACATTTGCGAAACAGCCCCCTGGTTAGTTATGGTTATAGAGAGAGATAACAGTGGTGGATATGACTATTATATACCTCATTTACATTTCTATCAACCCTCAGCTACAATTACACATATATACAGTAGAAAATACACATTATGCTGTCAGATAAGTCATAGCATACAATTCAATACAGTACAGAGTTAAGAGTAATATATATATTCTAGAACATTAATTATTATAATTAGTACATAGTTAATGAGTAATTATTCCTATTATTGATTGATACTCTGACCAATGGCCAACATTATTCAGCAATTATTTGTTATAATAAAGGCAATATTAAAGAGGGTTGTCTCTATTTGATATCACTGCAGTGGACAATCAGTAAGCCACCAAGAACCCATAGTAAGCTGGAAGCCTAAAGCTACCATAGCCAAACTAGAACGTGTCTAAGAACAGGTCATATAGATGTCTTTAAATTTGAAATGAAAGATGATCATGTGAAATAATTTACATTGTTTGGAATCACTACATATATGTAGTTAATCACGAGATAATATTTGCTGTGGTGGGGTATTTACTGTGAGGAATATCTACTGTACATACCTCAATGCCAAGAGGATTGACATACTTAGGGTCAATGGTACATTTTGCGTTGGTTACCTATAAATATAACATTTCAATATGAATAATCCGGAACACATGAGTACATAAAACAAATGTCTTTATATAAACTATTCAAAATCTGATATAAGATATATTATAAAAGTGTTTATTCATACAAATGCCAGATCCTGAATGACAGTCAAATAAAGAAAAATGGTGGCTAAAATGGTCTCAACATTTCCTGGTGATTTATAACAAAGGTATATAATAGTAGTTACTCACTGAAGGTTCCTGCATGATGTAGAGCAGATGTTTGCCCTGGGGGAAGTGGGTGTTGTACACTTCATATGGCCACTCTATGACCAGCTTAGATCTTGGCACTGTTCCTGAACCTTTGTTCAATACCTACATTAACATGTGTATCAAAAAGCTATGTTAACTTAGCTCTGGATGCTCACAAAATTGTATAAACCAGATTGGATAACGCTGCTTATATAAAGACAAAAACATAAATATGGGCCACAATTGCTCATTAAGAGTAATTTGAGATATGAATGCAAAAATGGTAAAACAAAATGAAAATGTTTAAATAAGAGCTTACCTGGAATGTATGTGTGACAGGTTGGCCAATCTCATCCTCATATCGAATTGCACTTTCCCCTACCACCTCTCCCCCATAGAGTACCTGCTCAGGGTCAGATGAACTGAAATGTGAATGACAGTGACATTTTAATCGATCTGGTTGGCCCATGTAACATAATACATGTGTATCCTGCAATTTCACACAATGGGATACTTACTTGGGCACAATATTTTTGGTTTGAATAAGTATTAAGTATTATCATTGCTTTTGAGCAAAATGCATTTAAAATAAGACTTATAGATATTGAAAGTCACATGTCATAATAAATAGTCTGTTTTTATGGGGGCATTTTCTCTTGAGACTTATGTCTTACAGGTTTTTATTTGTGATTATGTATTTGGATTGTTTTACTCCATAACTTACGCAGTCACTTCCATTTCAGCTTTCACAATGGCCCTCAGTTTAAGTATCACACTGTTATCAGAGACATCTATCTCTTTACTTGTCCTGTAATGTAAACATAGAGAGGGAATGTAGTATTGATAAAATGATACTTTGAGGGTACTTGCATAAAGAGGATATTTGTGTACAGAGAACAATTATCTACAGACAGGTTCTTGTATTGAAGTGCAATAATGCACAGACAATATATTTTCAGGATTTATGTAATTACATGTAATGATGGTGCACAACATTAGTTTTATAAACATTAAATCAAATCCTTATTTTAAGCACCATTCAAAGGGGGGAGTAATATGGTGGATTTCTTCACTTCCCAGACACTGTACCTTAATATTTCACTAAATTTGATTATATTAATATAACTTACGTATTGACTTGAACATGTATTTCTAATGGTTCTGGAGTAGGGGTCAATGCCAAGGGGTTAAACCTCAAGGTCAAAGCCTCTTCAACTCCATTCTTCAGAGGATTACCCATATTTTCACACACAACGGTTGTCATTTCTACTCTGTCACAGCCATATTTTTTGCCCTGAAGAAACAGAAAATGTTTGATAATCATGAGCAACGGAGAAATATCAGAAAGATTTGTTGAATGTAGCCAGGGTTAATCACAGGTTCTCACCAGAAACTCATGATACTGTGAGTTTGTTCTGCAGTATTATAACTAAAGGGCAGGGCTATGTCTTAATGGACTGGGCAGTATGATTAGCTCGATGTGGATTCTAAAATGACCATGGTATGTTGAGGTCTGGTTAACAGACCAGTCACTTCATTGAGATAAATGTTCCAAAATAGAGGAAGAAAGAACAAACAGATAAAGGGTGTCTCAAAAACATGTCCCAAAAAGTATTTCAACAGCACGTTTCAACCAATCAATATTTTTAGACATTCTTTGAGACACCCTGTATATGTAGGAATGGAGCATCAGATCTTAAAGGATGTAACCCTTTCCATATTATTGGCTTAGAAATAAAATAAGCATTCCGTGTTTGATGATAGAGTTCTGTAGTTTGAAAACATGTTTTGGCATTAAATTGGTGAGGTCCCCTATCTGCTCTTAAGTTCTAAATTATCAGTAACACATAACTAGAAGATAACAACTATAAAAAACCAGCAACTCCCAGAGTTGCAGATTCCACCAAACAAAGCATATAAACACATATAATTTTGAACGTTTCATGATAAAATTAACGATCACTATTGTGACAACTGTATCTAACAACTGCTGTTTGAGTTATCAAAGATTTTATTTCCGACAAAAAAGTTGGCCATTTTGAATTGAACACTCAGATTAAAAACCCATTCTCATGCAGAGACCCTTTTAATTCCTTTGAGACATTTGACTATAAAATTTGGACCATATTGTGGCCATATTGAATTCAGCAACTATCTCTAAAATTCTTGTTTGACAGATATTCTCTGTCCTGAGGCATCAGACTATAAAATGTGAACCAAATCCAACTTCCGGTATCTGAGTTATCAAGCATTACACTTTTACAAAAATTGATGGCTTTATCTAATTGAGCTTAAATTAATTTATTTAAGGAATTCTTTCTTGAGCAGAAGTTCTATGCCCATTAGGTACCAGAATGTAAAATTGTAAAAAATCAACATGTATTTCAGTTATCTAGGTATGGACAGGCGGCTTGTCTATATCCCAACTCAAACTTTGTTTGGTGGGTTAATCAGGATTTAAGTATAGACCTACCAACCATATAATGATGTATTGAGTTGACATGGTAGAGCTAAAATACATATACCTTTATATTATTTATAGCAAAAAATACCTTTGGATAGTATAATCTTAGCTTTTACTTCTACAAGTTTTGATATCTGTTTTAACCATTAAAATTCTTGCTTGATTGCTTGTCATTTGTCATTTGTTGTATGGTAGGGCCCAAAGGTAAAGCCCCTTTATAATAATGAATTCTCACTTCCTACCCAGATCTTTTAGGAACTACACATACCTCCTTGTTGGTTCCTATGTAAGAAAGTTTCTCTGGGATAGTGACAGTTAATGTGCTCTCATGAGCATCTTCACCATTGTTAGTCAGTAATACACGCACTTCAAGTTCTTTTCTCACACCAATGCTCAATACAGACACTGTAGAATCATCTTCGTCACTGTAATATAATAAACATATTTATCATCTTCATACAGTGTATTTTATTCATCATGTGACCATAATAAATTAGTCCTTAGCATTCTGGAAATGGAGTTTTGAATTGTCTTATTACAACAAGGAATCAACCAGTTCAATAAAAAAATAATTTTTCCTGAATAATATTCATCAAGCAGAAACACAATTCATACATCCCTTCTCAGGTCCGATCCAACTATTGCCAAGGAAACTATTGCCATTCAAATTTGACATTTTAGCCCAAAATCACTTGAGAGTGCTCAAAATGGTGAAAAAAGCAAGTTTGATATGAAACTTGTTCACAAAAAATTGTGATATGTATTTGTGATGTATCCCACAATTTGTGTCTAGTTCTTTAAACCTCTATCAGTCTTTCAAATTATTTTATAAAATGGAAATCTTTAACTTACGGTTCCAGATCTTTGAAGAAAGCTCTGACCTCCTGATTGGATGTACAAGTCTGGTCTTCACCACAGTTCTTCAAAAAATCAACCTGAAATAAAACTTCAACTTTACTATCTAATAAAAAACATTTCAAAATTCAACAGACATTTTAATTACTCATCAAGAAAGACATGAAAAGTGTCAGAAAATAAAACTGAAAATGTCTGTTTTGGATGTAACAAATAATTTCTTGAATTTTAGGGCAATAATTATGAATATTAAAAAAAATACTATTACCTCTAAATAATTGAAAAATCTAAAATATCTAGTATAGGCAAGTAGGTTTGCAGTTTGCACACGTACAGGTTGAAAAGTGGAAAGCACCTTACTTATAACTTTATCACAATTCAGCACATTTTCTTCTTTCTGGTAACATTAATCAGTTTATAAAACTGACAAGGTGGATAAAAATATATAAATCATAATAAATATTATGTAAATATTACTTACTGGGAATGTGACCTCAGATGTTGATTGGTCTAAAATAGGATATTGGTTGAGATTAGGCATGTTTGGGTTTGAGGGGTTAATGGGTGGCGGTATGTTCTCTTCCAACTCCACCGTCAGCTTGAACTGTATTGGGTTCAAGAAGTCACGGTTACTTTTCTGAAAAGTAATATCAAATAATACAATTCATAGTAGCGAACTTAACAAACATATTGGCTAAAATTCCACATATCAAAATGGATATATGTAATGCATTTGAATCCTTGGATTGTGATTTTAAGGCCACATATAAAGTTTTTTTGTTGAAAATAATGAAATGAAATAAATATCTTTTCAAACTTTGCACAGGTTCATTACTCGTTTGTTTTGTAAATGAGGTATAATTTTATTAAGAGTTAAAAACATCAAAAATGATTGAGATTTAATGATTTGAGTTTACCTGAAGAAGATTTAGAAATAAATCTCAATCATATTTGATGTTTTGTAAATGAAATCTTTGTTTTTAAAATAATTTTGATTCCAACATCAAAAGAATCAAGAGCATCCTTCTTGCTGAGAAATGTCTTTTATTTAAACCTGGTATGCATCAATCATTGGGGTGACATTGAAAACAAAACACGGTTGCCAAGACATTGCTGCTATGAATCCCAACATTTTGATTGGTTGAAATATTCAAATCACACATAAATAATAAACACTGACTGACCTTGACAAACACTTTTTGTTTAATTTCCTTCATACTTGGATTACTCTGGGCATAAAGTTGTACACGGCCCTCAGCATAGTAGTTCTTATCCTCATCATTTGGATTTGGAGAGTTCTTGAAAAATACTCGTACAAAACGTTTTCCTGTGAATCTCTCGGCCTCAATCTTGTAATTAATTGCATATCTTTCAGTGAACCTGGAATGGAAATCACATTCTTTGGTGGATATTTTAGCAAATCTTATTGGTTACCTATAAACTAAACTGTATTATACAATTTCAAGCAAATTAATGAAATACTTAAGGACATATGGCCAAAAAGTGATTTGAAAAAGTTAAAGAGTCAGCCATTTTGAATTTCTGCAAGATACTTTAACCAAACTTCCGAATATTATTTTTAACTCATAAACCAGGGGAAATATTATTCGTCACTTTTGTGACAGGCTATCAGCCTGATACAATAATAGACATACCCACAAGTGACTGATTGCAATTCCCACCATGTAAGCTCATGAAAAAGATAGCTTCCTAGTATTTAGGTTATTAATGCCAGTTGCTGTACATTTAACCAAGGTTTACTGTTATTTCATATCATCAATTATGATTTCTACACTTACTTGTCTTCTGGTTTTGCAGTGAAGCGGAACTTTGCAATAACATCAAAGCACAAGAGATCTCTGCTGGTGCCCTCGCAAGTTGTAATACTGGGGTCTATTAATTCAGGGGAGCTACCAACAGTTGAATGTATCTGGATGACTGGCCGAGACAGAAGGATAACAGCTGCATTGGATTCATAAGCTCCCACCACAAGGTCGGGATAAGCATTGTTGTCCATGTCAATTCCACCAGAGAGAGAATATCCAAATGACTTCAATTGGGAATTTGTGATTAAGTCGCTGGCCTCAATTCTCTAAAGGAAATCAAACTTACTTAATGAATTTCTCATATACAATACTTTGTAACATATCTTCGTTTAACATTTAATTAAACATGGATTCAGCAATGTCTCACATTAAATTCAAAAGAGGGTGAAAGATAGTTCATATGATTTCTCGTTCACCTTTCAAGGTCAATTTCTAGTTTGCTCTCTCAATTGATTACCTGTACATATTCCTCTTTGATGCCATCTCTAGAACCTTGGAATATATAAACGACTCCCCTACCCTCGTATGGTGCACCCACTGCAACATCTGCAAACAGTAGGAATATGCAGTTGTTTAGTTTGCACTGTTTTTTAATGGTAAACATAAATGGAAAGTACATGAATCAATAAAGGAATGTGTAGTGCAGGCATACTTTTGTATGCGCCTTTTAGCTCTTTTCTACTTCATAGTCTATGCTGTGATGTAGTCAAAGCATAAACACTGTATAGTAGTTGAACAGTTGGTTAACAAGAAAACTGTATGCAATGTATATGCACGATTAATACATTATATATTTCAAGTATTCTCATTGTGGAAAACTGAGTCAGAATATGAGGAGGTACCTTGGAAATCGTCATAGTTTAGATCTCCAACATGAGCGAGACTGAAACCAAATCTTGCATGTTCACAGTTCAGCTCCATGCATTCCTTCTCAGGCATCTTGCGACTCTTGATCATTTTTCTCTTTGAATTCGTGTTGATTCCCTGAAATACATGATTAATATGTCTATATTGTATGTACATGTATATGCATACAAATAATGTGTACACATATTTTCATCTAATTAAAATGCAGTAAAATTTGAAAATGAAGTGGTTAACTTCTCAATGTATAGATTATGACAACGTTTTGAGTATGTTTGACTTCCGTTATAAGATACAAAAATCCAATTGAGCAAATCCTTCACAATTGTATGTTCAAATTATAACACAGAAGTACACACAACACTTCACAACCAACAGCTTCACTTTTATAAAGGTAAGTTTGAATAATATTTTCTTGACTTACAGATCCATCATTTTCGTAGATGTAGATGACACCACCAACTCCTTTCGCATGGTAGAAGGGGGCACTTACAATCAAGTCTTTTTTCCTATAATAAAAATCATAGTAATTAACCATTTTTATTCCACAAATACATATCATATATGTAATTTGATAAGTTCACAACATACTCTACTTCATTCCTATCACATATTTTACCTGGACTTTACTATGGTATGTGAAGTTAGCTAGGTGCACAAAATGTGTGATACAATGTTATTACATACATTGATTATGAAAAACTTTACCATTGAACATTCCCTGAACTTTCTGTCAATTGTGACTCATGTTTGACAAGTCACCAAATTACAAACTTGACAGTATAACTATTTACCCATCATTATTGAGATCAACAGGGAGGATATCATATCCAAAGAGGGAACTGAACAGTTCTCCCTGTAAGATATCATCTGCATTGAATATATCCAGACCATCATCTGTATCATTGGTGTGAAATAGCAGGACCTCTCCTTTATCTTTGGATCTTGGAGCCCCTGCCAGGTATGTCTTTTTGCCTTCTGTGAACTCTGCTACAGCTACTGACATACCTACAACAATTTTAATATTGAGGTGCTTGCATCATGATAAACCATGTCATCTCAAATCTTCTCAGCCCTGAGATGTTTCAAGTGAAACAGAAAGATGCTATGAGTATCAGAATGAGGTGCTTGCTAAAATAAATTTGTATCTAACTGGAAAACCTGATGAACCCATAAATATTTTCCCAGATAACTGGGTATGAGGATTCAAATATATACGACTCCATGCACAGTTTATGCATTTCCCATTACTGTAGTCTCAATTAATAGATTAAAGATATAGTTATAAAGGTCAGGGGTACAAAAGAAATAATAACAAGGCATTAACATGAAAAATGTCACCACCTGCCATTTGTTAGAGATGCAGCTGTTTTAATGTTCTCACAGAATGAGGTATACAGTCACAAGTTTCTTTCAATTTGGACTGTTCTGTTGTGTTATGTTTGTACGTATGAAACATTTCTGATAAAGGCTCCTTAATAATGTGGAAGTACATTACATACCTGCATAGGAATAGAGACTAACTGGTGGCAATGGTTTATTCTTGTTGCTAAGCATTCGGCTCCTGTACCAGGTAGAAGTGAACTCATTGGCTAGATCCTTCTTTGCAGCGCCACCTGTCCAATGGTATGGCCCAGGAATTCCAATGAGCAGATCACCATCCTGAAAATTGTTGTACAAATAACAGTGAAAATTCCAAAGATGCTCCATCAATTGTTATACTTACAACAAACCAGAGGCTGCTTCTTGAAAAATGATGAATCCTTCCCCTTACACAATTTTGACATGGTAACAAAGATTGCAAAGTTCAATAAATTGCAGTTCCAGCAATTGTCAAGAAAAAGACTCCAGTTTGACTGAACTCGAAATCTGACAAAAAGAGGGAAGGGAAATAAATGATAAAAATATAATAAAAAGGCAGTTTATGCTATCACACATCACCGGCTATATATTATTCAAAAGCAAAGCTATATACTGTTTGATAAATGTGTAGTAATAAATTCAATTGGGCTAATGTGATAAATATTGAGGGGGAAATGTGCTACATGCATGAATTTAGGGAAAATGGGTAAACTATGTAGGTTTCAAAGGGGATATTCTAAACATTGTAAAGTGCAATACATGATGCTTGGATAATTGTTTTAATACCTCTACATATACTGGTACAGATATGAGATGCAGCAAACTATGATCATTTTGTGTTTATATGTGGTTTATTAGTATGTTCTCTCCATTTGACCAAATTGTTAATTCCACAAAACCATTGTTATTATAATACTTACTGTGAACACATGATTAAATATCAACTTTATATCAAACTACTTCACCAGACAACCATTAAATCAAAAATTATTGGGTTTTTGTTCATCAAGGTTTTCTACAAGAAATCAAGTTAGGAGAATTTAGAAGATTTTAAAGTTTAAAAGATTTCAACAAATTTGGTTAATATTAGCTCAAAATAATCACAAAGTACCCAGTCATTGTAATTCCCATGTTTTAGTTAATGAAAAGCAGTGGGTTCAAATCAATCATGTCAATCAGTCAAGATTTGTACAAGACAGCTTTGTCATGTTTATTAATAATTTAATACCGATTTATTGTTAATAAATTTCAAAATCAGTAACAGGAATATTTCCTATTAAAAACTAAGGGTTCTTGTAGAATATGCAATTTATAAACAAAATGCATCAAGGAATTTCACACAGAGTAGCTATAGTAGTACTATTGATTTACGCTAAGTAATGTATAATTGTTGTATATTTCCGTACATCTATCATAGAGGGTAGGTGCTACATGGGTAATATGGCCTAAAATCTACAGGACTTAAAGTTCATCTCCATTCAATAGAAAACTGCTGACATCTGTTATGGAGTTAATTGTTTATAGGTTTTATGGGGGTTTTATTGCTGTTAGGAGTGTGTTACAAAATGTTGATCTTGATTGAACCAAATGATAAATAAATATGACATTATATAATCCTTCCGGTAAACTCAATGTTAAAATGATTAATTCTGCGAGTTAAAATGCCAAATTGAGTAGAATCCCAGAGGATTTATTTAACCAAAACAAGAGAAAAATATAAAAACAGTCATAATATAATCACATATCATTCAAAACTTATTGTGATAACACTATGAACTTTAAAGGTACTCAGGGGTTTCACTAGAATTTCTCACAACAGGCTAAATAAATGAAAACAAAGGGCAATTTAATGGAAATCATAAATTCAACATGGAAAAGTTGAAAAGTCCCTTAAAACAACCAGTGAAAATCGCATGTTGCCTGCTGCTAATGAATCCTCTGATACTGTATATTATTTTGTGTAAAACTGTTAAAAAATGCATACAATACTTTGGAATATGAACTGCATAAAAAGAACTTAAAAATGAATTTCAGTAAGCAGCCAAGCTGATAGGATCCCCTCTCTACCAACTTGATTCTTAGACTACAAATACAGCCTGGACAGAGAATGTGTATATCCTAGGTGAACAGTGAACTATATAAATGGTCCAATCAAGATCAGGAATTGTGTTTAAGACTTCATCACATCAAATCTCCTTATTAGCAAACATTTTCAAACAAATAACATTTAAAGATTTGATATTCTCAGTCAACACCATGTATGAGGCCTTGTTTTATCAGTTTCATATCTACTTGAAAATGATGAAACAATCTTGCAGGTTTTAGGTTATGTTTAGGTGCAAATTAGGTATCATTAGGTGTTCAATCTGGGTACGGCTTACCACTTGTGTTCCATCACTCTTTAAACAAAACAGCAAATCAAAAAACATGAAAACAAACACAGGTGAAATAAACAAAAATGCATAGAGGTGTCTTCATACAAGTATTTTTGATATGGTTCAATTTGGAACATTAGACTTCTGAACAGAACAATTTGGGTTCTTTTAGTTGTTTCTATTAAAAAAGATATTACTGAAACACTGATCCTACTTTTGATTGCAGAGTTAGGAAAATATCCTGCCTCTATGTATTGTATACTAAATGTGGAAAAGGTGTCAAATGTTTGTTCCAAAAGTGAACTGAAACATAGCAGTCTAATTCTATTCCAAGAGCAAATGTTCCACGATTCATATCAAACTTGAATAACAGTGACACCTCTAATCATGCACATGATGCAGGGATCATGGGGTAGTGGTCGTCATGGTGATGATTAACCAATCAAAAGCAGGTTAAGCTCCCATGTAACATCAAAGTACAGAGCTTCTGAAATTGAGATTACAATGGAGGGCAGACATTAGGTCTACAACAAAATTAAGTATGGTTGAAGTATTATAGGAGATAAACATTGAAGCTAGTTTACTTGTCACATAATTCAATTTAACTTAAATCTTTCCAGCCTCTTAATCATTGCTTTTTTATTTTAAGCACTTTAATCAAAACTTTTAAAACTTTTTCTGTTTCACAATTTGGATTTTCAAAATTTAAATTCTTAATTTAATAAAATAAAGATTACCATCTGATTTCTGGATTGATTTATAATATACATGCACTGTACACATAATCATCAAATATCTCATAATACTTCAGCCAATTAATATTAACATTAATTCTACAAACTGTGTGTAAAACATGAAATAGCATTATGTTGATGTGTTTAGAAACACTGCGTGATATAAATTAAGTGAACATAAAAATACGAAACTATTGGGTGATAAACAAAGGTATGCTGGGACAAGGTGATAACAATAATTCAAACTTTACACAAAAAGGGTGCCAGTTGTCAATGGAAAATATAGATAGGTTTATATTTAATGCAGATGAATAACAACATGCACCAATCAAATACAAACAATGTGTATATACCAATGCCACAAAAATACAGACTATGTTTTGTATTGAGGTAGTACTTCAGTGTCTACTACACAATCAGTTCGCACATCTGAAATCAGGCTTCTCGCAATGATGTGGTGGGTTTAAAGCCTGGACGTGATAAAAGATTTTATTTTTTATTTTTGTTTCCTTCCTTTTTGAACTACAATTATTTATCCCATACTTGGATGTGTTACGGGTACATAAAGCCGGTTTGTAAAAACTTATATTTTCATCAGCGGGCAGATATAGCTTTACGTCCCGCTCCGAGCGGGCAGATATAGTATATCTGCCCGCTACGTCATAATCGCTGTTCCCGTATTGGTTCTTTTTTTGTAACGTTCGCATACTGTAAACGACAATGGAGAAAAACGCAGACAATCTCGACCTGTTTGATGCTTTAAAGAAGGGAAGGAGCAGTATACCCCGTTAATAATCAAAGATTTGAGCAGGAAAAGAAACAAGAATACAAAACTGGACATGAATATTTTAAAATAATTCCACAATTGGTTGCAAAGTTTCTGAACTTTGGCCAATTGAACAATGTGATTGGTATGGGATAAACAGATCATCATATAGTCGGTTCAGGATATTTGGATTATTCCTTGGCCAATATAATATATCTACCCTCGGGACCTACGGCCCTCGGGCAGATATATTATATTGGCCTCGGGATAATCCCAATATCCTGAACCTCATATAGGATAATCTCTATATATTAGACACACTCATGCTGTACTCAAAACTTTTGGTTTCCCATAGAATTACCATATCTTTTTAAAGAAAATCTGCATTATGCAATTTTTTACTTGAAAAAACACATTTCTCATTGAAAGCCCCACATGGTTAACCTTTCTTAATTTTCAAATATTTTGTTGTATATCAGTGTATCTTTCACCTAGCTAGAAAGCTGGTCGACATTGAAGTACTTCCTCAATAGGTTGAAGACATGGACAGAAGACTGTTTGAACATCACATATTTTATGGCTTTGAGATTTACTAAAAAACGCATGCAGAATATTCGAAGCAGCAAGCTCAACATATCATAGATAAATATCAGGAACAATATGGAGGCATGGCCAAAGTCTATCTTTCAATGCAAAAATCATTTTTGCTCAAGAAAAGCACAAGCAACGATACATATTAGATCATTGCTAGATTATGCATCAGTTATTTGAGATACAATGGCTAAAGGTTTCAAAAACAGATATTTCATAAAATTGAAAGTGTACAAACGTTTGCTGCAAAAACTTGTTACCTGATCCTTAACATAATATATAAAGAATTAGTAGCCTGGACAGAAAAACACATGCCTCTCTTGTAGCTTTTTGAATTCTGAATACTTTTTTCATGGAATTTTCACAGGATAAACTTCAAAACTTTCCTAACATATAAAAACAATGTGTTTAACAATGTGGACATGTAATATTGAGTGCAGTGGGTACAAACAACAACAAAAAATCAATGGTGTCATGGTAACAAATAATGAGTTGTCATGGTAGGGTGTTTTGACATGGTTACAAATAATGAGTTGTCATGGTAGGGTGTTTTGACATGGTAACAAATAATGAGTTGTCATGGTAGGGCATTGTGACATACCTCTTCTAGGGCTGCACTAGTTCCAGCCTGACAATACCCATACTGCTCATGTCCTAGTGTTGTTGGTAAACCACTGCAGGGCATGATCGGGTCCTCCTCATCAAGGGAGTTATACATGGTGTAGCAGATACCTTGAGCATAGCGATTGAGAGGGAGGCCACTGACGAGTCTATGGGCACATGCCTAGATAGAAAAAAATAAAAAGCTATTTAATATATCACAATAAATCGCTTCATCCTTTCCCAAATTATAAGTCTGTCTCAACAAATATATAGTTTGTGATGTATGCTAATGCTTAAAATATACAAGTTGCAATTAAGAAATTATTTAGGGATGATGTCAGTCAAACTGTCAGCATTTGGATACTTTCCCTCAACAATCTTCCACATTATCATCAAACAATGAAATCTATCCGGGACCAAATTTTCCACTCTGTTTAAGAAGTATTTACCGAACATGGTTATAATCTAGACCCTATCTAGCCCTTTGTGAACCTTGGTAACAAGTCGACAAGAGGCGTCTCATTTTCTAATTCATGTAGGCCCTCATTTAGTCAAGTAATAATGCTGTGAGCTATGATGGGGTGTAGATTGTGTACATATCATTAACTTACAATAGCTTTCCCTTTGCCCTGACTTCTGACTGTGACTCCCATCCATTGGTTGGCCTTATCTTCTCCAGCATATTTATCTGAAGAAAAATGTTATCATAGTTAAAAAGTGCTTTATATTAGATATAAAGTGGGCCGAAAAATATCAATTAAATAGTTCAGAAGAAAAATGCCAGGAAACAGGGTCTGGTCAAATTGAAAAGTACAACATGCAAAGTACATGTACTAAAAAGAATATTAAGGATTATATTCCCATCTCCGTTTTGATCATTTTGAAATTACATAAAAGTGTGAGATTATCCCATTGATAATAAAGTTTAAATTTTAGTTTACCGCATGTTTTTACACTTCCTAAATTTGCATTAGTGTAAAAATAACACATTAATAATAACACTCCGATAATAACATTGTGACAATGCTACATGCTTGAGTAAAAGGAGGGGGTACACTACCCCCAGCTAGACAATCTTTCACTAAAATTACTAAATTCAGAAAGACATTGCATATTGTATCTGTATCGTTCAATGTCAAAAATTGGCAAAAAATGAGAACAAAATTGCTCTGGTTTCAAACCTTTTCCAGAACCTAGAAGAACCGTTTATGCATGTGACATTCTAATTTAAAATGGAATGGAATTTAAAATGGAATAAAATGGCTATTAACTAAATTCAAGCATCAACTTACTGTATGCAGTTGCAAACTGAAGTTCATTGCAATCACCTAGACCAGTACTGACTGGACATATGTACACAACCCCTGGCTTCTCAATATTAGATGTGCTTAATGTGGCTCTAGGGGCACCAACCAAAAATCTGAAAATAAAAACAGAAGTTAAGAATACATACAATGTGGAAATGATACACATGAAACTGTTTTTCAAATGTTTTATCTGTTTTCAACAAATGATTTCCTTCAGAATAGAAGCATACATAGTTATATCATAATATAATACAATACACTTTAAAATTCTGAAATAAAAAAGTCATAATGAGGGATTAGACAAGATGGGTATATACCCTATTCAATTATAATGAAGACAGTACAGGGACTACTTACTGATGACTCAGTGAGAGTCTCGAAAAGAAAACTAGAGATTCCTGATATCCTGGAATTAGTCAACTAATAGGATATAATCATTAATCTTATAAATTAGATTGGCATCGACTCTGGGGAGGGAGGGGCTTCCTTATATACAGAGAATGGTAGGGGGATAATGGCTTGATGCTAGACTTTTAGGTCTAATCTTGCTTTTCAATAAATTCATTACAATTCAACTCATATTCCTAAGCTTATAGACATACTGGATAATGATAATAATGATAATAATAACTAAAATACATGTAGAATATGTCGACAAAAAACTAACTTTGACTATAATGTTAACTGAGAAACACTGGAAAGAATTCTCAGCAAAAATGTATTAAAATTAATTTGCCTTTACAATTAAACCTGCAAAGAGGAACACCTCTGTTAGTCTAAAGTCCAACTGACTCAATGTTAAATAAACTTCGCAACTAGAATACTTTTGTGTTCCACTTAGACAGGTCTAACTGTATATTCTCAGGAATAGGGGCGAGTTCATTGTGGGATCCACAGCCTTTACTATCCTTTTGGAATAGTTCAGAAGCTCTCTCAAAAGTGTTAGGTAAAGAGGGACTCTGATAGATCAGAATGGGGCGAGTTGGGTTTAGCAAAGCCTGGACGAACAACTTCTTAAATCAGGTAGCTATGTTTACACAAATAGATCAGATAAATGCTTATTTAAAGCAAGAATTTTTTAATCTTCTCAACTGGTTTCTACAGAGTGATTTAAAGCTTGTATTTTTAGATATTACTGTTTTACACTACTGTAGTAGTGAGCTGCAGCTATCATATATAGCCATACAGTAATACATTTTTCCCAGTCTAAGTAAGATACCCCCTTCTATATATAATATAAAATCTAACTTTTCGTAATGAGATAATAAAGACCAGAACAACGGCAACGCCAAAGCGTAGCGAATCCCATCGAACATTTTTCAAAAGGGGCACCTTCTACCAAAAGTGTCATTAGACAGTGTGCCATGCTTATAATATTCACATACCAAATATGAACAAAATCGCTCTACTACTTTTCGAGTTATAGTAAAATACGTTAAAATGGTGGCCATTTTGAAAAATGGCCGCCTTCTACTAAAAGTCTCATTAGACAGTGTGCCATGCTTATAGTATTCACATACCAAATATGAACAAAATCGCTCCACTACTTTTCGAGTTATAGTAAAATACATTAAAATGGCAGCCATTTTGAAAAATGGCCGCCTTCTACCAAAAGTGTCATTATACAGTGTGCCATGCTTATACGTATTCACGTACCAAATATGAACAAAATCGATCCACTACTTTTCGAGTTATAGTAAAATAAGTTAAAATGGCAGCCATTTTTCAAAATGTCCGCCATTTTTCAAAATGGCCGCCTTCTACCAAAAGTGTCATTAGACAGTGTGCCATGCTTACAGTATTCACATACCGAATATGAACAAAATCGCTCCACTACTTTTCGAGTTATAGTAAAATACGTTAAAATGGCGGCCATTTTGAAAAATGACCGCCCTCTACCAAAAGTGTCATTAGACAGTGTGCCATGCTTATACGTATTCACATACCAAATATGAACAAAATCGCTCCACTACTTTTCGAGTTTTAGTAAAATAAGTTAAAATGGCGGCCATTTTTCAAAATGTCCGCCATTTTTCAAAATGGCCGCCTTCTACCAAAAGTGTCATTAGACAGTGTGCCATGCTTATAGTATTCACATACCAAATATGAACAAAATCGCTCCACTACTTTTCGAGTTACGGCAAAAATCGTAAAATAACGAGAAAAGGCCGCCATTTTTTAAGATGGCTTCCGTGTGCTTTTTTAATATCTACATTTCTAGCTTTATTAATGTCCTATATAATTTTTTTACATTTAAAACATTTTGCTATTACAGTTTTACATATTGCACCTAAATTACTGTAAAATCGGCACTAAAATGGCCGCCATTTTTAAATGAGCGGCCATTTTGAAAATCGGCTTTCGAGCAGAACTTCTACCCCCATAGGGTATATGTATACAAAATATGAATAAAATCGGGCCAACGGTATTTGAGTTATTGCCCGGACGGACGTACGTACGGACGGACGTACGTACGTACGGACGGACGGACGGAGGCGTTCCCTATATCCCTCCGAACTTCGTTCGATGGGATAATTAGGGGGGGGGGGGACTTGTTCCCAAACTGGCCCTATTTTAGATTCATTCCAGCACTCAAAATGAAATCTTTTATCTATACTTATAAACACAGATCACAATATCTTAATCTGTACCATATAGTTCCTGGCACGGTTAAAATGAAAAAAGAAGGAAATTAGACCTGTATCAACTGGTCCCCTTTCTGTTAAACAGACATTTTACCTACAATAGCCTTACTTTCTCCAACACCAGTGCAGTACCTCTATACAGTCTACAGCAGAATATTGTACAGACATCTCCATTCATGCAGAGTGTATATGGTCTATAATATATGGAGAATGTATATAGATATCTAAACCACATCCCTAAATTCTATTTGACTCTTTACTAGCCTATTCATGGTGTTCAATGTGAAAACATAATCATAACAATGAAATACTTGAACATGATAACACAAGAGGACCTTCCTTACAAATTCAATAAAACTGACTCAATATAACAGTCTAGATTGGATTCCATTCCTTGTATCCTAACCATTTTAACCATAATGTCTAACATCCTCTTTAGGAAGCAAAGATGAATTAGTAAAATACTGTAAAATAAATACTGAAGTAGCTTATAATTTTCTGAAGTACTTATGAGATTCAATTCCAATGGTTCATCTAGTGTTTACTTTTACTTAATGCTAGCATAAGTAAACAAAGCATATGAACCAAACTCAGTATAACTTACTTAAAGCATATTTTCTGAGTGTAAACGCACATATTATGCCTTATACTGTTTATATCATAATAGTTCTTGGAAAAGGATCAGTCCATATAATAGATGACCCTTTTGCATCAGTTCCTTGACACTACAAAAAGTATTTACAACTATCAGATTCAGATTATGATGTAAATATAATATAGGTATGTACGCTAATAATTAATCATTCTTTCTTTAGCAGAATAGGTTTAATCAAACAATATAAGAAAGGGATAATAAATGCACCCCTCCCTCTTTCTACAGCCAATCCAAACCAACATATTACAGATACATGTATATACATATGTTTTATTTCCATATTTTACACATCATATTAAAACTGAAGTCATCATAGCTAATGTTTCATCCTACAAATATTCTGCTATAAGAAGGAGTGAAGCTGATAAAACAAACAAGTTAAAAAGTAACAGAATGTTTAAGAGGTTCTAATATGTATCCTGACTTTATATACTAAATTGGTTAATATCTTCATTAGAGACATAGCTTCTAAGGGGAGGCATCAAAAGTTCAATGTCGGATCGGAAACTAAATAAATCTAGTTTTGACTCTGACCCCCCCCCCCTCCCCCCAAAACTAAATACTATGAAAGTTGATCGCTGACTTCCGGTTTGAGAATTTGAAAAATTATTGCTGAACACGATCTAGTTTTTGATAATTCCTATCTTAATTTGCTGCTTTTATCAACTATTGATAGAATAGAATCTATTGGAATGATCTTGACGAAGAAAGCATCTGATAAAATCTCTATTTTTAAACCATTCCGAGGCATTCTGAGTCAAAATTGCCAAAAATTTGAAATGTTGAAATTTGTCGGATAGCAAACTAAAATTTATTTAGCTTTCTATCCGACATTGAACTTTTGATGCCTCCCCTAAGAGGTGATGATTCGACTTTTCAATGAAAATCTGTTAAACAACCACATTCTTATGAATAAGAACAACCAAGATCTTAAAGAATATTAGTAGCATATCACCAGATAAAAGTGAGTAGTATTCAGATGAGGCTCACTCTCTTACTTGTCTGTAAAGACATTGTAATATACATAGCATACATGTAAAGTCTTTCAATCAAATCCATAGATGCTATGATATACATAGATGTAAGTGACAAACCAAAATGGGAGTCATCAAAAATGTTATGTCTGTATTGAGAGAAAAATAAAAGCCTTTTTGAGGTGTTTGTAAACTAAAACTGAAATCTGCATATAGAGCCTAATTGAATACTGTAGTAATCTCATTTAATAATGAGGGGGCATGGATAGAGACTTAATATGTACCAAATTGTGCAAGTCTAAAGTTAATTCTTGTGAAAAAAAAACAAACATATGAAGAACAGAAAAAGTAACAACAATTATTTCAGTACTTGTTTTAGCACTTGCTCTTCTAGCAACAGTCTTATTCCTTTAAGATAGAGACATGTCAAAACATTCCAAGTGTATACAAGGTCATATCCTCAGAATACCAAAATAATCAGATACTGATCTTGATTTAGAAAAACAATCAAGATACATCACAAAATAGCCAATACAAGTGAATTCAGAAAAAGAGTAAGTAGACATAAAAAGTATATTTCTAATTAATATCTGATACTGATGGTTTTATAAATGTCAGTTTGAACGTTTAGGTCATAATAGTGTTTTGATCTTCACTTCTCCTTAAATGACCAGATCGGGATCACCGGTGAATAAGTCAGGTTGATTATCCTAGTAAGATATGCCAAAATTTTTCTGATGAGTATTTCTGTGATGTTGTTGGAATCTTCTGCCAAGTTATCTGCCCTTAGTTGCACTACATCTACCTTTTGCTGGCCTTAGTGGCACAGTCTGGTTCGA